ACAAAAATTACAGTAATTTTGGTGCTGCAAACAAATCCCATTTAATTGAATGGGTTTGTATTGCTTAATTAATAACGAAGTTAATTTTTTGCCGAATCGATGTTCATTAATGTTAATCAAGCATGACGTTGATTTGAATGAGAATACATTTGAAAATATAATCACATCAATTTTCTCTTCTGGGAAGTAAATATAGATACACGTATAATTTTTACAATTTCGTGTACTGAAATAAATCGTTTTGAACGTAATTTGCACATATCAGAGAGTAAATAAGTGGTCATTTAAAAGTTTAAACCTGTAATTTCAATAACGAAAGTAATTTTATCTAATGAATACACTTAAACTTTGTATCTCCAGTTGAAGAAATAAATTATTCTTTATATAAAAACAGGTCATTACTTTGTTCAAATGATACCAATCGAATAAGTTTTACTTTAATACTTAAATTTATGATTTAGTATTGACCTTTAAATTGTACTTTGAATTTAGTTTAAACCAATTTCTTTATTTATGAATAACCCTTTTTATTCTCTTTGTACAGGTGATGAGGTAGGCACATTAAAATTGATACAATTGTTTCTAAAACCGTTACTATGTAAAAATTTTACATTTACATTGTGATTATTTTTACAAATGTGAAATTGTTACCTACAAATTTTAATTGTTTAAGATTTATTTATTCTTTTTTTGTGTGAATTTTCTGTGTTTAGAAAGTACCTATATTTAAAAGAATTTCACAGTTGAACGAAAACATATTTTTTGCATATTATTCCGTGGGCCAATATAATGTACAATTACAAAGAATTATTACTCTTTTCTTACAGTACTTACATTGAAGACACATGGCATAACTCGAAAATTTGCCTCTAGCCTTTTTAAACCTTTTCATAAGTAGAATTAGTTTTAGTAGGTTTTACCTATTTTATTTTATGCTTTCACGTCAGTTAAAAAGAAGTTAATTCGAAGAAAATGATTTATACTATACTAATAATAACCAAGTTTGATGTATTTGACCCCAATTATTGTTTTGAGCTTTACATGTATTTATTTTTTACTTCGTATAATAAATAGAGCTGTACATCGCTCTATATTGAACTGTAATACATATTGTCCTTAATAGTATCACGATACTTTATAATAAATTAATTACCTGTCGGCAAGTGACCCATTTTAAGTATTGCGTCAAGAGCGCCAGCCTGACGCAATACTTAAACGGGACGCACCGGGGTTCCAGGAAAAGGTGCACGGCACATTGGCGCTAGCAACGAGATACACATACCTGCGAGCGACTTCCACTTCCACAAGAAGGACTCTCCAGCGAACGCTCGCACCAACAAAATTGTTTTCCTTTACACTTTGTTCTCAATAAAAAATACTTTTATTTTACCGTTGACAGAGAAATAGTTTAATTTTTGCTGCACACCGAAAGCAACCCTCACTTGTATTTATTGACACTTTGTTGGATAGATATATCTAGTGGTATAATTATACCTCGATACAACTAAAGGGTGTCCCAAAAGAAACGCAGGATTTGAATTGTACGCCATTTTCATTCCGAAAAGTTGGCAGCATTGTACCGGGTTACATGTTGTTGCAAACATGTTGCGGTTAGACAAAATGCAGCGCTATACTACGGATGAGTGACTGAAGATCGTGAAAATACTTTACAAGTACGGAGAGTGTGTAGCTGAGAGTGTGCGCAAATTACGTGGAATTTTCAGTAGAAGAACTGATGAAACACCTGTAAAATGGTTAGTTACCAAATTTGAATAAAACAAAACGACCTTTTGCTGCCCTCTTTAAAAAATTCTGTCCGCTAACAGGGAGAGGTAACCGGAGAAAACTATCATCCAGTATATCGATTTGACTAAAGTTTTAAAAAATAATACGACATAATAATCCAAATAAATGTCCCAAATTTTAAAGCGATCGGTAAAAAGGTTATGAAGTTATTAATTAAATTGGTTTGACAACTTTGAAGGCTTGTAACTCAAAAACCAAAAATTTTTTATGTAACTTTCTTTTCGTAGATCGTATTTATTTATCGTCGTGAATATGCAGTCAAACGTTGTCGGTGAAATTTGCGGACACCCTGTATTTAAGTAGGAGCCCTAACCTCTCTTTGATATATGATATGTTATATATATGTGGACATGTTACAAGTGTATTTTGAATGTCGCAAAAACTGTGCAGCGGTAACAAGAGCGTATAATGAGAGACATCCAAATCGTCAAGTTCCCCACAGACAAACTTTTTCAGCGGTAGAACGAACACTTCGGGAAACTGGAAAAATACAGCCGCATATTGAGGGTACCGGCCGAAGACCTACTGTTCGTACTATTTATCTTGAGGATGCAGTACTTGAAGAGTTTGACGAAAATCAGCAGACTAGTACGAGAAAAACAGCAATACACTTAAATGTGTCCCATAGTGTTGTTTGGAATATAGTCCATGATAATTTATTATCAATCTTTACTTGAACCAGACATGCATAAGTGAGTTGTTTTTTGCGAATCGTATCTTAATATTCTAAGAAATAATTTGAATTTTGCCTCAAAGATACTTTTCACAGATGAAGCAACTTTTCAAAGACATGGTTTAACCAATATGCACAATCTTCATTTCTGGACTCCTAAAAATCCTCACGAAATCCTCCTATGACAACATTTCAACATAATTTTAGTTTAAACATTTGGGCAGGAATTGTAGAAAATGTGCTTGTCGGCCCTTTTGTTTTACCTCATCGACTTGGTGCTGTTGAATATTTGCAGTTCTTAAATGAGCATCTACCACCACTTCCGGAGGAAGTACCATTAAATGTACGTCAGGCCATGTGGTACATGCATGACGGGGCTCCTGCTCACAGCACTGTAGTAGTTAGGCGGTGGCTTAATTTAAATTACCCGAATCGTTGGATAGGTCGCGGCAATGAGGTACCTACCTCTTGACCTGCACGTTCTCCCGATCTAACGCCCATGGATTTTTTCTTTTCGGGACATATAAAAATTATTGTTTATGCGACCCCAGTTGACAGTGTTGAAGTGCTACAGGAAAGAACATTCGCGGCAGCTGATGAGATTCGCAACAATCCTATAATTTTTGCTCGAGTTCGTAACAACTTTGATAAACGTGTTAGGTTGTATTTAGAAAGAAATGGCAATTATTTTGAAAATGTCCTTTAACTAAGTTTTTTGTTTTTTCTCTTTTTATATATTTTTATATTTAATAAAAGTTTCTGCGACATTCAAACAGTTATTTGTGCAACTACTGCAAAGAGTGTATATTTGTTAAGTGCAACAAATATGTTTTTTGCACATGTTGCACGCAACATTTTTTCTACGATTGTTTTTATTTCAAATTTTAATTATCAGTATTTTACATAATATTAAAATTTTAACTAACAACTGGAAATTAATTGCGCAAATTGTCAATGTCAGACGTTAGGTACTTATGGATATGCTTAGATTAAACTTGTAATCAATATTTTTTTTTGTACTACTGTAAAAAAAGTTAAACTTTTGGCACAGTAGGTAGTGCAATAAGTAGTACATTTTGCACGATCGTAGAAAAAAACACTTGTAGCATGTCCACATATTCATCATTAGTAAAATTTGGCATAATTCTTGTTAATTTACACCCAAAAAGTATTTAGCTGATAACAGTGACAACTTACAGAAGAGTTAATTGTGACAACTGGCATGACAGCAGCACACTTAGTTTTTCTTTGATTGATTGCAATCATATACGGTGTGAGGTGAATGGTAATACATTTTATTTTTTTATTAATAAACGAAAAGTTTTAAAGGAAAATTGCTAGAGAGGTAAAAGTTTCTAAAAGAACCAGTTTATCTAATGCGTATTTTTGGATATCGAGTTTTTACGAAATATAAAAGTTATGGCAAAAAATGGCTTGAGGGGTGGTTATTTCAACCCCTTTCGAGGGGTTAAAATTTTCGAAAAATAGTTGAAAACTCGCATCTGTATTAGTAAACAACCTGTAAAAAATTTGTTATTTGTACCTCGTTCGGTTTTCAAATTACAGCCAATTTTCATAATTTTTTTTGGAAACTTTGATGGCCCATATCTCTTCAGGGGTGAACATTTTACTAAGGCGATTTTTTGCAGATCGTGTTCTTTTGAAATGTAGATTCATTGGTATCATTAATGCTACTCCATTCAAAAACACCCTGTAGAATGGCCATATCGTACTAATAATCCAAATGCAATATACAGGGTCGGAAAGTCCCCATGGTTCATCGGCCGTTACGTGAGAGCGATAAAGAAAGTCATAGAAATCCGTGCGATAGAGAGAGATGGCTATAATGAAAGCGTCTAATAGTCACCGCCCATATCGCCCTTCCACAAATAAGAAGTGGATCTTATAAAAGGATTTTCCCTCTTTCTTTTTTATCACCACCTACAGAACCCTAATCTCCTCGGCCTCAGAAAATGTAACAAAAAACATATAAAGATGTTCGTTGTATATTAAGGGAGATTCATAGGAGTGGCCCTCTTATAGTAGGCAGCCTGTATATGTATAAAAATAACATACCTAAATACTATCTAAAATATAAATTATCCCCACAATTGTATACAACTAACTGAGAATAAAAATATACATATGGAAGTTTAGTAGTCTGATACCGTATATGAGCAGATGTTGATTATTTGACCACTTATTGCATAGTGCCCACACAAATTAATAATTGGTCGAATATTGGCTTCCTAGCGTAAATATCATGTACGGTTGAAAACAATCTCTAAATATAAATGGCTCTCTATAAAACATTAAAGAACATAAATTATTGACTCAAGTTTCATCATTCCAGTGATATTTTGAGAAAAGTGAAATTTGGATTTTGAAAAATAAGACTTCATTACGGATTTCAAGAATGGCCAATTAATTCTGAAACAACCTGTCTACGCTTCAAATTTTAAGAATGGCCAATTAATTCTGAAACAACCTGTATACGCTTTTTAGGGATAAAACCACTTACCCCGGAAACATTGAAATCTCCATGATGCATCTCTTCTACTGTGCGTTTATATTTAGGAGAAAAGCTTCCGTACAGGAACTGGGTTATTATGGAAGACTTGCCGACCTTTGCGGCTCCCATCACTACTATCTTGTGTCGGGCGTTATTGACGGGAGGGACGCTGTCGTTTTTCTCAAGGGATTCCACATCCTCACTCTTCTGCGACCTGAGAACTCTATTATTATTATAATAGTATTTTGTTACGAAATCTGTTATATGATAGAATAAGAAGTTATATTAGTTTCCAATATAATAAGTCGACTTTAAGAAAAAATTTGTTCGGATTTCTTTTCGATTTATGTGTGTGTTCCTTTTACCAGAAAATTAAACGTTATTTGCGGTAAAAATGTGAGAAAACCTCAAAAAAATTTTTTTTTTCATTTTAGTCATGATTATGAAGTATTTAAGCTCAAAAAGCGTGACGCTTTATTTTTTTTCAAAAGTTTGACTATTTGAAGCAAAGAAATAAAGCTGAAAAAAATTTTTCCAAGTCCGTGGAAAATTTGCAAAATTTTTTTGTGACGCTATTTCTTATAATTGCATTATAACCGTAGCTCCTAAAAATTTTCGACCGAAAGATCTAAAAACTAGAACCTTAGAGCTTCAAAATGCTTTTTTTTTAATTCCCGGTGCTACCATTTTTCACCTAAACTGTCAAAAATCACGGAAAAATTTCGGAAATTCTTTTATTGTTTGCATTAGTGTAGACAGTTTTTTATAAGAACTCCTCAATATGATAGTCCACAGTACAGGCCCCCCCTGGAAAGTTGATTACCACATACTTTATAACTCCTGAGGCGCATCCTTTTGACGAGTCTACCACATTTTTCCTGTGCAACTTTTCTCGATTCCTCCGCTTTTCCACTCGGAAAAGTCCAAAATCATGGCAATTTCCCGGGGTCTTGAAAAGTCAAGACCACATCTTTTATTTTTAGCTTAAGTAACTGGAAATTTTGTTGCAAATGCTGATTTAAATATGTCTGACAAAAATTCTTCCGACATTGACGTGTTTACCGGTCGAAACATGCCAAAATGACAGGGTATTGAAAATCAATTACCACATAGGTAATTTTTAGTAAAATTAATTGTAAATAATTAATTCAGTCAAAAAGTATTGTTGTCCGACAAATTTCAAGCCGCGTTTTTTCAGTCCGACGGCTGGAAATCGGAATTTTCACGGGGTATGATAAATTGATTACCACATGTCGGACAAAAATAACACACGATAGAAAAGTGTTTTTATACCCAAAAATTGCAAGGTCCGACAAAAATGTATCCGCAAATCGTCAGTCCGACAAAAAATTATGAACAAAATTTCGTAAAAAATGTGTACATGTATTTATAATTTCTAATAAGGTATTTTCATGTATTAAGCAAAATTCCAGATAAATATACAATACAGGATGTTTCAGAAAGACCTCCCGTAAATACAGGGGGTGAGGACGACAAAAAATAAAAAAATTTTGTCATATGAACTATACGTCTAACTCCTCTTGTTTTCGAGATACAGAGCGACAAAATAGAATTTTTTAAATAACATTTTTATGAAAATTTCCAAACGGTGCGAAATATTTTTATGAAATTTGGTATTCCGAAGTTTTTAAGGATGCCAAATACGATGGTCTAATTATTTTTTGTATATTTCGTAGAGGGCGCTAGTTATGCTACATTCCTATTACATATTAAGTTCTACTTTTTTTAAGGTTAGGTTATTTACCATTCGGACTTCAATTTCTAATGTACAATTTTATTTTCTAAAAACAATGTACTCTTGTTAGAATTTCCTAATGTGGACGATTTTCGAGAACAAAGGCTTTTAATTAAACTCTTACAATATTACGGTGTATAAAATAAGTGACTTGTCTCAAAGTAAGCTTGAGCTTTGAGAAAAGTCACTTATTTTATACATCGTAATATTGTAAGAGTTTAATTAAAAGCCTTTTTGTAAAGAAAAATAACAAACGCGAATGAAAACTTGAAAGAGAAAAAAGGATTTTTATGTCAAGTATAATATTAATTTATTTAGAAATAATGCATTATGCACTAAGATAGTATTAATCGCCTCAAAAATAACTTCATTTGTTTATAACTTCTAATTTTTAAGCATAAAATAAGCAATATTATAATTATTTATTTGAAACAAATAATAATTTGCATAATGATAATTAATAACCTTTTATAAATATGAAATTTTTGGAGTGAAAAAATTAAATTTCATCACGATTATTAATTTATTGATTTTTTAATAATTTGCGGACATTAAATCGTTGGACACTTATATCACTATTTTATACAGTAAATTTAAAAGTGGAAAAAATGAAAATTAGATATGTGGTAATCGAATTCCGATTTCCAGCTGTAGGACAGAAAAAACACGGCTTGAAATTTGTCGGACAACAATACTTTTTGACTGAATTAATTATTTACAATTAATTTTACTAAAAATTACCTATGTACTAATTGATTTTCAATACACTGTTATTTTGGCATGTTTCGACCGGTAGACACGTCAATGTCGGAGGAATTTCTGTCGGATAAATTTAAATCCGCATTTGCAACAAAATTTCCAGTTACTTAAGTTAAAAATAAAAGATGTGGTCTTGAGTTTTCAAGACCCCGGGAAATTTCCATGTTTTTGGACTTTTCCGAGTGGAAAAGTGGAGGAATCGAGAAAAGTCGCAGAGGAAAAATGCGGTAGACTCGTCAAAACGAACCTCCTTAGGAGTTATAAGGTATGTGGTAGTCAATTTTCCAGGGGGGGCTGTACTGTGGACTATGATAATTGTGTTCAGTGATGCAAAGTAAAAGATACATTTTTTATACTTTTGTTTGATAAAAATGGTTGTAGGTCACCATCAGTTACAGCTGCCATTATTTTCAAGAATTCAATATTTAATAAATAAGTTTCGTTGTTGAGTTATTTCATCATGAATTGGAGCTATTAAAACTATATTTTCTTAGATTACATTTTATTGTAGGTATATACATATATGTACAGGCTGGTCCATTTTCGATGGGAATTCAAGGTATATCAGAAGCTACTAAAGATATGATTAATCTGACACCACGTTCTTGATACCCATTTTCATGGCAAACTCGACTGATACATCAAAAATTTGCTATCTTAATTTGTTTCTGAGTAACAGGGAATTTCTCGTTATTGTGACATTTTTGGACATGTCTGTATCTCAGCTGTTAAATAAGTTAGAGTTAAAGTGAAAACTGCTTAAGACTAATTCTTTGGCAAAAAATTGAATTAGATTTTTAGAAAGTCTTATAGCTCAGTATATGATGGTTTTTAGGTCCGAATTCTTGAGACATGCATCGATTGACGTGAAATTTTAACAGTAAGTAGAAAATTGCTCAAGAAACAAAAGTTATATAGTGCCGATGTGTGCTTTCACCCTGGGGGTGGCAATGAAGGCACCCATTTTAATCGTAAAAATCAATAGAGGGATGAATTCCAATCAAAAAATGTTCTATAACGTTTTTTCCAAAAATTAATATTTTTCGAGTAATTTGCGTTTGAAAATGTTGATTTTTCATCTAAAAAGTGCATGTTTTTCAACCATTTTTGATAAATAACTCGAAAACCTTGCGTTTTATCGAAAAACCCGCAAAAATAGCAAAAATAAATGTTTTGAAATAGCGAATCGATTCATTTTTTGTTGATTACCGTAGATGTAATAATAACCGAGTTATCACTCTCTAAAGGTGATTGTTTATTTTTCGGAAAGTATAATCAAACCTTTTATAGTAAAATAATGGCTAAAGAACTAATTTTTCGAAGAAAATGGATATAACATTTTTAAAGTGCTTGGAACGACCTTTAAAATGCTTTTTGAAAAAATTTCGTAACTCGATGATGAAAATAAAATGGTCGTTTCGGAGAAAAAATCAACAATAAAATCTATAGCTGAACCATAAAAATATAAACTAAGCGTAATCCTTGTACAGTTGACTTTATTTAGGTACTAATAATAGGCTCTGCAAGTTTGACCGGTTTAGAATGCCTAAATTAAACAAAAGGTTTGAAATAATGAAAAAAAATTCCTTTTTTTCGAAATAATTCAAAACCTAAACAAGATACGTGAAAAATGCAAGAGTTCAAAGTTAAAGGTCTTTTTCATAATATTTTTGCTCGCTTTCAATTTTTCTCTAAAGTAAAAATTAACTGAGATATTACGTTTTTTAGTTTGCATTTGCGTGTAAGGACCACCTTCTTTGAATTCTTAAAACCTAAAAATCTCGAAAACGAAGAGTTCAAGGCCCTTCAACTATTAAAGTTGATTTGTAGCTCTTGCAATTCCCTGCAAATTGCTTTTTGGAAAAATATTAAAAATTTAAAAAGTTATTGTGAAAAACGAATTGTATTATTCAGTGAAAATTGTCGGATCGTGTAAATGAAAATTTTCTCCAGCCAATCAAAATGTTCAACCAGCCTGCACCCGATAAACTTTTAAAAATGATATTTTGCAATTGCAAAAAAAGGATGCGGTGTGACTTGCTGTTACCGCAAAGTTGGACTCTATTGTAATGCGATATGCGGAACATGTTCTGGGAACAGTTGCCAAAATTGTCCTCCGATCACGGACCAAACAGAGGAAGTCGACAGTGATGATAGTTCTTTAGCTGATATGTAAATTTTTGATAATAAAGTATAACTGTATAATACACAAATATTTTCTATTTTCCCTTTCACTAATTACATAATTTAAGTTTCGAGTTTTAAGTAATCTCGTTGAATTTAGTAATGTATCGTTGAGTGTTTTGAAGCAGGTAACAATTTTTCAATTCCTCATTAAGGGTTGTTTTTAAAAGTTGAAACGTTGCAATGAATCATCAGTAATATTATAAACAGTGATGAGTCTTTGATTAATTATAAATGCTATGAAGATGTGAAAAAAAATTTTTGCTTTATTTTCTGCAATAAGCGTGGTTTTTAAGGGTTGAAACGTTGCAATAAATCATATATTATTTATAAAACCATTCATAACATTGCACCCCTAAAAACATGTTTCAAGAGTTGAAACGTTTCCGTGAAAGTTTCCCTCAGTTTCCCTCAAAATTTTACGTTGCATCTTTATTTCAGAAAATAGCACATTTCAAAAATCGTCACTAACACTTAAACACGTTGCACTCAAATAACAATATCACAAAAACTAAATGAGATAT